CAGATCTCATTAAAAACGCCAAAAGGCAATGTACATGGGCGAGCCCGGATCCCGAGAGACTGGGAGGTTACATTCACATCCAATGCAACCTAGACGAAATACAACTAGCAACGCTAAAATGACAATCACACAACGACACTAAAACAAACTACTAACCACAACAAAAAACTACAGAAAACAATCCCAACAGCGAGTGTGATCTCAACAGGATAATAAAGTTACACTCGGGTCAACCGGGGCCCACGGCCCAAACCTAAAACACGCGAACAAACACAAAACAAACAACAACAACAATAACAAAACACGAAGAACAGAAACCAAACATAAACACACAACGAAGCCCTTCCCTAGTGAACCAAAACCAGCCCACCAACAATGAACGATCGACACAAGAAAGATACCGAGCCCGAGCAGTCGCTACTGAAACTGCAGAACGCCTAGCAGTAGGTAAAACCGAGCCTCGAACCAATCCCCGAATCGACCCGTCGCAAACCGAGAAAGCCACGACCTACCCTCACACCCCACACCGGCCCTGCCCGCCCTCATCAATCACCACTAGACGAGGTCGTTAGAGCCCGACTCCACGCCACCTAACACCCAGGGCCAGCCCTGAGCCAGGGCGACCTGGGCTACGGCCCAGGGCCCAATTCGTGGAAGGGGCACCAGCCACCAGCCCGTATATATGTTATACCCTGCCTTTATATGTATTGGTCTTTAGTTTATTTTAGTTCCATAAACTAAAAAAGATAGGCACTCAAGAATTTATTATCCTCATTATTTAGCACACTATCCCAAGTTGACTTTTTTCTATTCTATAAAATATTCCTCTCACACACATCAAAGCCATCCACCTTTTTTTATCTTTATCATTTATTTATCCTTCTTTTTTTAAACCAAGTATCCATGACATTTAGTTACATTAATCCTTTTATCCATCTTTTTCTTATTTACTTAAATAATTTTTATTATTTGTTAATTGGCCATTATAATTAATTTATAGATTATATTAATTAACTTCTTAAAATTACTTTCAGCATGGTTTAAGGTTGCTGATAAAAAATTGAATATATTTAATATTTATTTTGTAATTATTTATGGTTTATTTGTAATTCTTATTGTTTACCCTTTTTTTAGTTATGTGTTGGGAGAGTTATTTTTTTTATAGCTCAAGCATAATGATAAATTAACTACAGATCAATAATAATTAATACTTTAATAAATTTATATTATTTTATATATTTAAGATAATCTTGATAAAAGTTTAATTATAGTTTTACTTACAAATGATCTTTAGTTAACATATCATCATATTTGAACTACAGACAAATCATTCTTGTGACATATAAAAAACTTAAAAAAGTGAACCATATCAAATTTAGCAACAAATTAATTTATGCAACAGAAGGATATTACATGAAATTTTGATTATGGTAATACAATTGAAAGTTTTTCATTAAAAATTCTAAAGAAATTTTTGTAAGTGATTTAATTACTACTACTATATTTTTGCCGCTAATTAGTTATTTGATGCGTA